GCTGCCGCTCTATTTATATTCACCTGTAAAGCAGAAACAGAAAACTACGCTCGACCTCCCTGTGAATGTGCCGCGCTGCGTGATTGAAGCTCCAGAGGCTTTTCATGTTTCCTCGTCATCGGCGTCGAACAAAGACGAGATGCGCGGCCGCAGGCGGACGGACACGCGCTGTTAGAGGATCTTTCTATATTGTCAGCGCTGCTCTACATATGGAGCTGTTTATTTGGGTCAGGCACAGAGATGGAGAATCAGTGTGGCTCCTCCCCGAGCCAACAGAGCGTCCAGCTCAGCAGAAAAACTTCAATCTGCGGACGTTGTTGGAAAAACAGTGTGAAGCTGTTAGAGTTTACATCCGATCATCTCGACACTGTGGGTCCATTAGTTTTCATGCTCTTCTGTGCAAACATTGAATTATTATATTTTCTACAAATCCTCCTGTGATTTATCACGTTTGATCAGATTCAACCTTTGAGATCTGAAGTGGAAATTAAAGTTAAAGTCCCGAATTAACTTCTTTGTCAGTGAAGTTTAGAAGGAATTAAATTTACTAAAAGTTTTATCACACTTTGAAAAATATGTGATTGAAAACAAGGAAAGATTATCGTCATCAACATCCAGACGAGACAAGTGAAGATCCTCTGCACACTGATCTCCTCAGCTGCTCTTATTCTGATAAGTCAAATAAAGACGTCCCGGTGGCCGTGCGGCCGCGGAGCCCGGTTATTGATCCTGGATACGAGTGCTTAGCAACCGCAGCTCGTCCCTGTTCACCGTCTGACTCCGAGACGCCGCAGAGGCAGCGGGTGGCGGTGCCAGCTCACGCTTCACCGGGCTGGTGTCGTGTTGATGCTGCAGTCAGATGTGTCTGTGGTGTGGAGCAATGACAGCAGCTACACACACACACACACACACACACACACACACACACACACACACACACTGACAGTCTCACTTTCTCTCTGGTTTTACGTTTCATTGACGGACTTTTACATCCTGTCGCCTCTTTTAGATCGACTCTCAATCTTGGCTCCAGCTAAGTGAGATTAATTTTCTCTCCGTCAGTTTGTGTTTGTTCTGTCGAAGATTAATCGAGACGAAGAAGAAGAGAAGACGGCGTCACCTTCGTCTCTGACAAGTTGAAATCAGGGATTTCCTCTTTGTGTTTGAATCAGTTTTGTCTCAATCTCTCAGGATCAATATTTGTTTTAGTCTTTAACTGATTTCTGTCGACTTTGCTGCTTCTCTTTCTATTTCGTTTTATTTATTTAAGGTGCCGTCGAGACAAAATCTAAAGAAATTCAGTCCAAGTCAAAAAAGCACAGTTCAAAAAAATCAGTTAAAAAAAAGAGTAAAAAAGGTAAAAGAAGTAAAAAAGAAAAATCTGTGTAAAAAGATTAATAATAAAATCAAATAGTTAGAAATATGTAGATTATTAAAATAACCAAATCAAATTGAGTGAGTCGTAGAAATCAGTCATGTCGTCGTCTTTGATCAGAACAAAGAGGAAAATCCTGGAGTTCCTGTCCATGAATCCTCCGAACTCACAGAGCGACTCTCCTCCGCTGCTCGGAGGCAACAGGTGACGGCGGGCGGTGTTTATTTTCAGATGAAATAATTGGCTCATTAGAGGCTGTGAGGGCGGCGAGTGTTGGAGTGACAGACGTGTGTGCTCTGCAGCTGCCGACTCGAGCGCTCGTGGCCTTTTTTTAACAACGCCGCTGTTTGGCCCAGATGATGCAGGAGGGAGATTCCTGCTGAATGTCAGGTCAGCGGGGATCCAGCGTGAAAGGTTGCGTGTTGGACTCCCACCAGGCTGCACCAGGTTCATGCCATCCTGTTCGCTGGTCGCTCGCAGCACCTGCGGCCGGAGCGACATTTAGCCGCAGCGCTTCTGTGAAGTTTGCTTCCCTGAACAGAGGAAGGATTCCTGCAGTGTCACAGAAAGGTGAAGCGGGCGCATGTTTCTGGTTCAGCTGAGCATTTCTCTGTTCTCTCTCTCTCTGCAGCTCGGTGCAGAACAGCGAGCGAGGGAAGAAGATCGGGAACGCCATGATGACCACCAGTCGCAGCGTGGTGCAGACGGGCAAGGCCGTGGGTGAGAAAACACACAAATCAATTCCAGATACACTGACAGCAGAGGAGGCTGGAGCTCAGGGTGACGCCCAGAACCTCTGAAAGAGACGAGCGTCTTCTCTCTTGTCTGAGAAATCAAATCAATCAGACTTCTGCGTTACTGCAGAACAGACCTTTATTTTGAAATGTTAAAAAACATCTGTCTGATCTCCACCTCTGCTGCAGGTCAGTCAGTGGGCGGAGCGTTGACCAGCGCCAAGTCGGCCATGTCCTCCTGGTTCTCCACGCTGGCCCAACCCGCAGCTGTAACGCCCCCGGCCTCTCCTGAGACCGCCACCGAGGCGGAACCGTGACAACCCAAACTCCCAGTGACTCTGTCCCCCGTCCCTCCTCTGACCCTCCGGCTCCCGTGGCGCCGGAGGGTCAGCGGTCCGAGAGCTGGTTCCGTGAAGGATGTGAGCGTCTGATTGGATGTTCACCAGATACGACCCTGGACACGAAGGCAGCACTGCCATTACACAACAGTCCACAGCCACTGTGAGGCCGAGACCGTCCCCGCTTCTACCAAAAACCAGAGGTTTCAGCAGTTTGCATCGTGTCCGACCCCCCGCGTCTCCGCGCTGCTGTCGCCGAACCGTTCCCTGACACTAAACACGTCGTTGTTGGGTTTGCAGTTTTCGCTCTTTGCTGCGTTTTTTCAAGAGTTTGTCTCTTTTGTCGACTATTTTCCTGAAGTATTCACGTAAAAAAACAAAAAAACAACATTAAACTGTGTCGCAGGATTTGAGCTGAAGGTTTTAACAGTTGAGATTTTTCAGTCTGGCCCATGTGTGACGTCTCTTTAATAACATTCTGGTTGTTTCCATTTTAAATCAACGTGTCGGGTACGATCATACACGAACCGAAGTGAGGAGGCAACTCAGTTTGATTTTCTCTCATTAAATTATTATTCTCTAAAATGTCCATCAGAGTCTGAGGTGACAGTAACAGTAGTACAATAAATAATGAATCAAGTCAAGCTCTTCGTTATAAATATTTAAATCCCAGGTTAAATAAAGTCCAACACTGTGGTTTTGAGACTTTTGTGTAACAAAGACAGGAACATCGTTCACCAGCGAACTTCCTCAAGTGCCAGTTTAAAAAAACAACACAATTAATCACATTCAAAAATAAAATGAGCCAGTGATTAAATTAACTGATGTTGTTGTTGTTAATCCCCCAAATATGTAAATGAAGAGCTTGATGCCTTATCTCGTCCAACTGAAGTTAAAACAAAAGTACAAACAATTTGTTTTTATTATTTGACAAACAATATTGTGTCTCAATATCACAACTTTAATAGTTTTTGTCTGACTCGTCTGCAGATTCCAGATAATTCTCACATTTTGAAAATCAGAAAACAATGTTTGGCCTTTTTCTTTATAATAACTCATTATTATTCAAATAAATATTTCAGCTCTATTGCTCCTGCTCGTGCACAGACACAGAAAATATCAGAATTTAAACACTAAATCTGAGAATTGTTACCGAAACAATCACAATGTTATTTGGTGAATCCTCCTGAGGCTCCAGTTTGTTCCCTGATGAACGTGATAAATTCTCCCTCGTTAACTTTGAAGGAACCCAGAACCCTTTTCCACCGTCACGATATATATTATATAATATATATAGGGAGAATTATATTTAGTAAATCAGAAGCTAGTAAAACGTATTTATTTGTCATGTATGAACGTATCTCATAAATATCCATGTTCTGTCATGACAACACTGGAACACTGTGTGTATTTGCACAAGCAGGTATGAATTCTGTTCACGTGAATCTTTATAACTGTAGCTGCATCTTTTCCCTCCGCGCTACAACTACCGGAGTGTTGGGTGAGAAGTGGTCCAGCGAGCATGCTCTGTCCAGTTCTACAGCTGTAATCAGTGTCCTCCTGCTGTCTTTAAGAAACACTTTAAATGTTTGCTCTCTTTTAAAAAAAAAAAAATCTCATTTCTGGAAAGTGATTCCTGGTTTAAGTTTGAGAAAAGTTTTCAGCTCCCGAAGCTGCTTTTTGTTTCTTTTTTTACCCTCTGATGATATATTTTTCTTTTTTGTATTTAAAAGATTCGAATGTATCGTGGACTCGAGATTCACAGAATATTTTTTTGACAGATGCTTTTAACGTATTTGGGAAAGAAAGTGATATTATATTATATTGCTGTATTAAAAAAAAACAATTAAACATCCGCAGCCTTTTTATTCCTCGTGGGTTCGCGTCTGTGCAGAAATGTAGGTCAGCCAGACTAAGTGTGTGTTGGTAGAGGGGGTTGTTGTTGTTGTTGTTGTGGCTGTAACACACGGCCGCGCAAAAACGCACCGCGTGTCGTCCCGACAACAATTCAGCAGCATCACGGGGTCACGTCAGGAGCCCGAGGAGAGACTCACACTGAGTGACGGCGTCATCCACTCAGTCACATAGTGATTTTAATATTTGTTCAAACGCAGCTGAAACAGTTCAGAGTGAAAACACGTGAATAGTTTTGATGTTTTCAGTTTCAACACATCAGTAATTGACATCTTCGAGGTTTAACATCCGACTTTAGTTTCTGCACCTGAACCAAAACTGGTTTTAAAACACAAGTAATAACTTCAATAACGTGAACCAGGATCTGAAACACCGGCAGGTCAAAGTTCCAATAAAAGAAACATGGAGTCTCAGTTTCAGGAACGTTTTTGGTATGTTTTTTAATAAATTAACGTTCATTCAAAATACAGTGCCATGGGAATATGATGCAGCCAGACATGCTAGTAAGGGTTTGTCATGAAGCACCTGTGCTCATGTTTTTAAAGGTAGCCCGCCACACCCCCCCTCCACTACTGCTAGTGGTTGCTGGGACGATTCCCGTAGCAACAGCCCTGGGCCAGCCCTCTCCTCTCACAACCAATCAGCAGCAAGAATTCACTCAGAAGAAAATTAAATCCGATAGGAAAATGGATGTCTACCCACAATCACACTACAGTAATGTCTGATATTAAATTAAAAAAAAGACACTAATACAAAATAGACCTGGTTATTTCCCCCACACTAAAACACTTCGTCTTTTAAACATATGAAAAATATATATTTCATTATATATATATTTCAGCAGCTTGGGAATAAAAAAAAATAAAAATGCATGAGCCTGAAACCTATGTTTGCACTGAGAGTGGAGTCGTGTGTGTGTGTGTGTGTGTGTTTGCAGAAAAACCCGTGTGTGGAAAGAAAAACACAAGTGTCGTGATCACGTGACGACGGACAGCGTGAGGTGTAAATGCCGGCTGTGTGGAAGACCTGCGTGCGAACACACTGACAGACGGGCGGCGGAGGGCCGAGCGGTGAGGGAGGAGAGGTGATGGGCGACCGGACCTGCAGTCGCCCTCTTCTGAACGAACTCTCCGCCGCTCACTTGTCTCCCCTCCGTCAGCCCTCCCTCCTCCCCCCATCTGCAGGAAAACTACAGCCCCCGGTTCCTCGTGTCCGCGGGGTCTTTACAGGAAACCCATGGATCCTGTTTGTGATGAAAACAAAAAAAAAATCTATATTTGTGAAGCTCCGGGTTTTAAAAGGCGTCTCTGAAAAGTCTTTGACTCTTTGGCGGCGGAGGAATCTGCGTTTGGACGACACATTTAAATTGAGAACATGAATCACGAAAACCGATCAAATCGATTATTCGTGCAAGAAACAATTCGCAGAATAAGAAATGTATTAATTTACTTTTGACTAAGTCGTGATTTGATTAAAATATCAGACTTTGAAATGAATCCGTTATAAAAACAGAATCTGACGTGACGCTGACGTTAAGATTCTTAAATGTCTGTCACAGTTTGAGAGACGTCGCTTCAGAGCTCTGAGGACAAAGATGGAGATTTCATTATTTACCGCTTCATCGATTTTAACTAAATTTAGTTTAAAATTGTTTAGAGAAGCTAACGCGATGTTGGATACAAGTTCCAACGTCGTAAAAGTTTTGGGCTTTAACTACTTTTCACCATTCCGTCATTTTATCATCGGGGGAAAAACTTTTCAGAGCCGAACTTTTAAAACCAAGAGTTCATTGAAACATAGATTTTTTTTTTTTGCGGAGTATCTCTTCATCAGTGGTGCGAGAAGAGAAGAAGAGGAGAAGAGAGGGAAGCCTACGGTCGGAGAGCGAGGGGGAGGGGCTGGGAGATTTTGGTAGAGTTGCCATTGTCATTTTTTTTTTTTTTTTTAACCAGTTAAGTGCATCATCATCCTCATCATCACAAAAATCAGTTGACATTTAGATCATCACATTGTAGAAACAGTATGACAGGCTTGTAATAATATCTAACAGATGTCACAAATGACAAAATAAGAAAGAAAAAAATAATAAAATGAAATTTTCAGATTACTAGTATTTTTCAGGGGCGTGTTTTTCCGCTCCGAGCTTGTTTGTTTCGGGCTCCGTCGTTCAAAGCCTCCCGGGAACCGCCCACGACACAGACAACGTCAAACCCTTTCAGAGAATTCATCGCCCCCCCTTCGTGTTCATCCCTCAGCGTAACAGATCCCTGGTTCGGTCAGCGAGGCAGGGGAGGGGAGGTTAAGAGCTATACGTGGGGGAGGGTCACCAGCTCCCCGTCCACCTCGAACTCCTCCGCTCCGTCGGGGGAGAAGAGGTACGTGGGAGGTTTCCAGGGGGACTCCTCCAGGCAGGAGGGGTACAGCTTCCCCACTGCGCAGCGGAAGTCCTTACCCAGATCCCAGAGTACGCGCTCTGACACGGGCTGCCGCAGGTACCAGCTGTCCAGCTCCACGTCGTACTGATAGATGGCGTACTTGGCGCGCTCGTTCATGTGGGTTTCGCGCATGAAAATACACAGAGAGTTGAGAAGCACCACCGCCCGCACGCACGGGTCCGAGTAGCGCTTGGCGGGGATGTTGGCGGCGAGGCGCCACTCATTCTTGTTGACGTCGTAGATCTCCACGGTGACGGACGAGCCGTCGATGGTGCTCGTCGGCAGGCGGATGCCGGAGTTGCTGACCACGTGGAGGCCGCCGATGTAGAAAATGAGGTCACCGAAGGCGGCGGCCGAGGCAAAACAACGGCTGGTCTTGCGCATCGCCATCTCCACCCATGTGTCCGGTCGGGGGAAGTAGCAGTACATCAGGTCGTGGGTCATCACGTAGATGCAGTTGTGCGCCACCACAGAGGTGCTCCAGTTCCAGGCGAAGGGCAGCGGGCTCATCATGCTCCACTCGTCCTTCTCGCAGTCGTAGCGCTCTACCGTGCGCTTGTTCAACTCTCCCCCGACGTTATCTCCCCCGATTGCATAGATGTAGCCGTCGCAGTAGACCAGCGAGGGCTTGATTCGGGCACACAGCATGGGGGTCTTGGGCACCCAGGCATTTTGCTGGGCATCAAACCAAAAGAAGCTATCGACCGAGCGGAAGACGGCCTGTAACTTGCCGCTCTTGCCGTGGTTGGTGATTGAGTTTTTTAGAGGGATCTGGCCTCCGGCGATGAACACATCGTTGTCAGGTGTAACGAGGGTCCCCACCTTCTGCAGGTCACCTGGGGGGTTGTTGAGCTTGTAGACTTTCTCCGCCTGCGGACTGTAACACACCACCGTGGTGAGCAAGGACCCCGTCATCACGTAGCCCTCAACTTGCGTTTCAGACATGGCCTCCATGAAAATCAGCATCTCCTCTTTGGTCATGCCTAACCGAGGCTTGAAGAACTTGGGCATGGACTTGTAGAGGCCCTGCACCACCACGGATTTGTCATTGGGGGGCAGACCCTGGAACCAGGCGCGCTGCGTCACCTCTGACAGGGCGTCGATGCGGATCTGACTGAGCACGGAGGACAGGTGCTGCGAGCGCGCCTCCATATTGTACTCCAACCACAACATGGCCGCCTCGCGCACCGTCTCCTCCTTCTCCACGTTGAGGTTGTCGCTGCTCAAGACGTCTATCAACAGCTCGTGGGAGAGCTGAAGGAAGGCCTCCTGCCGGTACACCATGGGGAACTTGTGCTCCACCATGCGTTTGGCGCTCTGCTTTAGCTCAGTGCAGCTGAACAGGTCGCCGATGCTCAGCATGCGGACGCAGTTCTCAGCATTTATCTTTTTCACCAGATAGTCTCTGCATTGCAGCAAGACGTCCTCCACCTGAAGGGAGAAAAAAGGACGGAGAGAAATCACAGTCAGAAGAGCTGAGTCATCTCTCTTTGTATCACCGTAGAAAAACAAATGTGGAAAACACCAGTGTGACTTTGAGTCACAGTGAACCCTCTGTTATTGATTAACACGTCTTCATGAGTCATTTCTGTGTGGTTAGTAAAAACTAACATAGTAATTAAGACCTTCACTACGATAGAAGTATTTATAGAGACTCAGATATTTAAATGAAAACACGAGAATCGTCTTTGTTTCGAAGTTTCAGGTGTTTTCTGGTGTCTTGTTGACGCCTCCTCTGTACCGACCTGCAGGAAGCAGGCGGTCTCGTACAGCGGCTCCACCGTGCTGTCGCTGATGGCCAGGTTGCCTGTGTAGGCGTAGGTGATGATGATCTGTAAGGTGGCCGGGTCCACGTTCCTCAGGTGGACGTGGGTCTGTTTGCTCTCGCTGAGGCCGCTCATGAACATCGCCCTGTGGGAGAGAGACGAGGAGGGTCGATGAAGTTTCTTTATTTCAGTTTTCTTGTTTTTTCCACTTGAAACTCACTTTGTGCATAAAGGTGAAAATAAAACGTATCATCTCCTTCGAACGCGCGTTTATTTTACGAGTGGTTTCTCAACAATCATCATAATCACGGCTGAGCAGCTCATGAGCAGATACACAAACAGAAAGTGAAAAGACATTTTTGTTCCTTTTTCTTTAACAAGAAAGTGACTGTGTGAAACCGGACTCATTTGTTGTTGTTGTTTTTATTTGAAAACCAACAATCCTTGTTAATTTTCTTCATAAAACCTTTTTCCATCATATCTGCAAATATTTAACTCTTTATTCTGACGACAGGATAAACCCCTCAGACACAGACCAACCCTTTTAGCCTGCGTCGGGTGATCGCCGTTTTAACTTCCGATGTTTTTCTTTTAAATAAACAGAGCCTCCTAATGACAGCTGGAAAGTTTCCAAAGTGGCTGGAAAAACAGACTAAAGTTACCGACCAGAGCCGCTCTACCTGAAACTGGCTGCGGCTGCTGGAGTTAACTTTCCCACTGCTGTCAAGCAAATATGTAACTGCTACAAGGACGGAAAGGAATTAAAATAATTATGTTATTATTGATTCATCTGCTGATTATGTTCTTGATTCCCAGTTTTGCTCAATTAA